CTTATTAAAAACAATGTGTAGGACATATCTGCAAGTAAAAAATACTTGTATTGAACCTAATTTTTCAAAACGAAAATATATCTACCTGCTTATTCAGATTTACACTGTCCACATGAGTCACAAACATCTTTTTCACAGACAGAGCACTTGCTCTTTGACTTGTTGCCTGTACAGTAATCAATCTGATACTGCCGTCTTGGGACGTTCCAACTGCCTTGAATTGTTCAGAATAAGTCCCGTTGTCACGTGCCTTGTATGATGTTTGAATCCACGTAGTTCTTCCGTAAGACCCATTACATGCGATCGGCAGGCTAATTTATTTCCGGTGACACTATTATCAATTGATTAGGAATTAATGCCAGCTAAATCCAGAACGTTGAAGAATACTTGGACTGGCCACCGTCAAGATGATGACTTGACAGTAAGTGCTGTTGCCAGTTGGTCGAGTACATCTACCGCATACTTCATGAAGTTGTGAAACAATACATTCTCGGGCTTCTTTTCAGAGTCTTGAATGGAAGTATTACTGTGCAAAGAACGAAAAAGCAAAGTATTTTTGCTCTTTTTACTCCGGTAGGATGATGATGTGTGCTTATTTTTATTCTTCCTAATAAGTGAACTGAACAGCTCTCTACGGTTTTGCTTCAAAATCGTTGACCCGAATAGTTCCCAGCATACTTGCACTTTCTTGGGGAGAATTTCTCGTAATGCTGCAAATGTGAAGAAGTTGTCGTATGTGACATTTTAACCCTTTCCCAATATGGGTGGCATAAGGCACAATGCCACGATCTCTTGAACACTTACTCCTCGTGGCCAAGATTCCTCTTTTCCGAAATATGGAAATCCATTCACGAGATATTTGCTGTCCACTTCTACCAAAATCCAAAATTTGCTATCGAACTTATCAGATTTTTGGCCATATACTGAAGAAAATGACAGCGGGTTTTGGTGGGAACCAATTGCTCGTCGACAGTGATGTTCTTCGCAGGCACATAGCACTAATTAAATTTGCGATTAAATGCCCTCTAAAATTCAGATATCAAAGCAAAGTTGTCAGTCTGCAGTCTTTCACCTCTGGTAGTTCGCATATCAAAACGAGGGAACCTCCTCATTTCCTTGAGTCTGTTCTTGCCAATTGTCTCCAAGAAAACTGGTACTCCGTTTTTATCTCACCACAGCATATTCGACGGCATGTTCTTCTAGCCTATAAACCCTCTAATGTAAAGTTACCGAATAAATACGCTAGAGAGCTCACCATATTTCACACATATTCTAACATAGTTGTTCCTGTTCTGGCCTTGAAAACGTTCTGTGATGCCAACCTACCAACAGTAGTTGTCTGGAACCATTGCGGTCCACAATGTACCATCTTTTGATATATGAACTTCACTGGGAGATGCCGAATCGGCTGATATACTCTCATTACTGTCCTCGTGAGTAGTGTCACTGTCAGAATTTTGACTATCAGCGATTCATACGTCTTGGAAAATGAGGTCTTCAACAACATCAAACTCGTTCTCGCGTCCAGACTCGGTATAATCGATAGTTGTAAGTTTTGGTAATATCGCAAACGCTGTTTTCCTACTGCGAGCCATTGTGTATCAGTGGCACTAAAATTTATCAGACCGAACGCACAAGATCACGGAAATCGTTACTCATCTAGTTTTCACTACCGTTTGGACTGATATTGCATGTAATTTCGTCAGGAACAATAGTGGGGGATTAAAATAAAAAATAAGCGATCATTTCAACCGCTACGAGCTTTCGCGATAGTAAGCACACAACTACTTCTAACTAATAGGCGATTTATTGGATTTTTGTGACGATTCGTCGGAGTTAAGCTCAGATAAACATCCACCGCATATCCAGGAAAGCGCTAGATGGCCTGTTCGTCCTACAGGGACTCCTCAGTAATGAGCACCCGCCGAATCCTGCCGGATCCGAACGCACGACCTTACTGTTGCAAGCCAGCGACTAGCGCCAATGAGCCCTGGGCGGCGACAGCCTTGTCGCTGCGATATGTCGCAGTTAGATATAAACATGGCAGTTCACTGCCGCTGCCGATGTCTCAGTGGCATTAGTCTCTGAGTCCTAATCCGGCAGGATTCGGCCGGTTCGCGCTACCGAGGAGTCCCATTAGGAGGAAACTGCCGTCTAGCGTTTTCCTGGATGTGTGGCGGTTGTCTGTCCGAGCCAAACTACGACGAAGCTTCACAGAAACAACTACTTTTCTCGAAAACCATTACATATATAAAAGTGAAAATTCAATGTTATAAAAGACGTCTAAAAATATTTTAAGTCACGAAGCGTATTTTAAAAATGCTTGCAAATGCAGCAACTATGCACGTTTAACAACGCCGAGCGATCAAAATGACAGCTAGAGGCGTCGTAGTATTGAAAAAGCAGCAATATTTAATCAAGGTAGCATCCCTTGTTACTGACGACGTGTTGTCAACGCTCAGGCAAGTGGTCGATACCTTTCTCTTAGTACGAGCGGGGCTGGCTGACAAAGTATTTGGCAAAGTACGTTTCGATGTGGTTGCGATCATCGAATCTATTGTCGTTGTTTTGATTTGGCAGCGAGCGGAAAAGGTAGTAGTCAGTAGGTGCAAGGTCCGGACTGTGTGTTAGATGCATAAGAGTTTCGATATCGAGCAGGTGCATCGTGAGACCCTTCCTCTTTGCCACAAGAGGACGTGTAATAACATGCAGCAGAAGAATTCGAGACACTTTAGCAGGCTTGTATTGTTATTTGTCGATGCTCTTTTGTATTTGTCGACAGTAGACATCGACAGTCACCGTGGAATTATGAGGTAGCATTTCCCTATAGCTGATGATGCAGTGCTCCACCAGACGCGGAGCACCTACTTTTCATTGCCAGTAACAACATCGTTCATCCATCGATGAATATGTCCTCGGATGAGCAATGAACGTGCCATAGCACAACGGTTCAAAAACCGTTCACCAGTCAATTCGGGTGGTAAAATTTGTTTGAGCTTTGCAACGCTTGTAGATTGGTGCAAATAAGGTGATTTTTGGAAGGCCAAGTTATGGCGAAACCTCACGCACACTTTGTATTGAAACCACCTCCAGAGAATCCTAGACGCTCCTGAGGAAGTTCGCTGACTTCGTCCTTTATCTCCATGGTTTAAAAATGCGTATTTCCCTAGGATGAGTCGATGAAACTAAAATTTCTCTGCGCTGTAGTTTGGAGTATCCATGCCTAGTAGGTCACGCAGGTTTCAACAAGCCTCGTCCGCTTTGTGCCCCTGTGGGAACATGTATAACATGCGTCCGCGAACAGCAAGTTAATCATTTACCAATACCGCAACCATTGTTAAAATGTAGGATAAATGAACAAGGTATGGTTATGGTTCCATTGTATCCCCATATATACCCAAATAAACGGACCTTCGAGAAGCTTCCCGAAAATTCTGCAGAAGCATAATAATATTCAGTTGCTTTTTGGATAACCGAATATATAGACATGATATGCTCACAATGAACTTGTTCTTACTTTATCCTTACACTCACAATACAAATTGCGATTGTGCCCTTATCATAGACTACTCCCGAGTTTTGCTACACCGTAGCTTTGAAATGGTATCACAAACTATTGTACTAAGTAGATAAGTTGCAAGCGGTCGGATCGCTGGCCTGTAAAACTGGTAGTACATTAACTGTTTTGAGTGGTGCAGGTTGAGCAAATCCGTAATCTAAAAATTTTTCCTCATATGTCAAAGCACAAAAGATATGACACTGATTTTGTGTACAAATGTTCGCTCCTACGTAGGGATAGTGTATCACTAGTCTAGAAATATAGGTGTTTATACAATTATTTATAATCGAGAGCATAAAATGGCTCACTTCGAATTATTTCTGGTCCTAAGGACAGAGCTTATCGTGCCGTACCACAGTGCAGGAAAGACACCAGTACACCCACCAGCTTTACTCAGCACAGGCGGTCCGACGCTCCGGGAATGTTCACCACTAGGACTGCCTGCTAAATGATTCAAAGCAATAGCAGCATTGTTCTCACACAGGAATCAAATAAGTAGAACCATAACGCGTTAATTGTGTGCAGTATTTTTGCTAAATTCCAGGTCAGCACAACAAGAGGCCGGCCCCTTGGCCGAAAGGACAAGTGGTCTGTCTTGCAATCGGAAGATCGCGGGTTCGAGCCTGTATAGGGAGCCACGGGATCCAGGCAGTGTCCTTAGCCCAAGCACGACTGGTGGTGGTTAGGCGGCGACAAAGCGGCGGTACGGCGTACCGGCGTGCTACTAAGCCCTTCCTACAACAAAAATTAATACAATGGTGGCCTGTAACCAGTGAAATTCCATGTGCAAGTTGACCGGTATTTGGGTTGTACTAACGATACTCAGATGTCATGCTTTACCAAATTTCAGCGTATTACGGCGAACCACGATACTTTCCAATTACGCTGATTCCCGCAAATGAGACAAAGACTGCTCTACTGTCGTCTTTGCAGCTTAACATGTGGGGTGCGAATATTACATGGCCTCCCTTGAAGCGAATACCAAACGGAAAAGTATGATTGCGGTTAAATAACAAGATTCCTCAAGAAGGAGAGAATAATTATACTTTGTGCTCCTGGGTTTACAACCTTTTCCAACATAAGGCGCAGCCATTTTAGCTGCAATACACATTACACTTGGTAGCTCGTTGTTTAATATTCACTGATTATAGTTACTAGTAACCTGGTGTGAAGCAAGCCCTCGAGAAAACGTGTAGCTCCAACGAACCAAAACCAACGAAGTAAATAACCAGGACATTCCAAGTAAGTTGTCTGGTTGTGCAGACCACAACTTTGCCACCAAAACTATGGTGCCATTTGTTTTCTCATGCTGTTCGCCATAAGGAAATCCATGCTTACGCCTGGATCCTAACTTTTACATACCCAGAAACAGCTGCCAATTTCCGTGTAGCAACGGAGAGGATGAAATCTTTCTTTGTGTTTGTCCTCTGTTTTACAGGAAATGAATGCGGCAGGGAGGCACTCTGTCTTCACTCATGTTGGAGGTGGGAACGACTTCAAAAATCCTCTGTCACTGCTCACTCGGCAGGCAGCGTCATTTACATCTTGCTCAACGGTTACAGCCAGCTCCCACAATCACCTTGGGGAAATGCTTCCACCGCCAGAAGTGGGCGTACCGAAACCCAGTACCTGTATCGTTCAGATCGAAACTGACGACGTCTCGGCTAATACTTCGGTCTCCCCCACTAGCTGTCCTTCGAATAGCCTATGTTACGCTACACCGTATGGCAAACCCCCTTCGGTTGCAGGCACTATGGAATTGTTTGCAACGCTGGATGTACCAAGCCCCGAGAAGCACCACTTTCGACTGTCTGATCACGCCTCAGTTACATCTGTACAGATAAAGCCGGAAGGAAAATTTAGCCAAAATATTCCTATCACTGGTCCGGACAACCCAGAGACGTATTGGAAACAGATAGATGATCTGCTTTTTTCGAATTCACTCGGAAACTTTGGCCGCTGTCTGGCCAATGCAGTTAACGACACTCACAAACATCGTGTTGCTCTTCAGACTACCAGTGATCGCATAGACGTCGGTCAACACCCGCTGTCAACTGGTAACTGCCGATACAATAGCGAAAACTGCTCAGTATCGTTTTGGGCCGAATTGCATAAGGTCTTCATGAGCCAAATGAAAAATCGTAGAAATGAATGCTCAAATGAGAAGGTCAACCGCTTCCGTTGGGATCAGTCAACCATCAGTAGATATCCCACTTCCAAGTTCATTCCCTTTTATAGGGCCACCTCGTCTCATTTGAGGCATCAGCCCAATATACCAAGGCCAGAGGCCAGCAATCCCTTATTGAATGGAACTGCACCGCTAGTTGGGAACGGAACAAAAAGAAAACAAATAGTGGATGGAATTTCCGACCGGATTCCGTTGGTCACCTCCTCGAGATGGCTGCTTAGATCGTCCGAAATAAAACTGAAAGGGAGGGGCCGTCGTGTGAACAGAAAAACCGAAGCAAGAGTAGACAGTCAGTTATGTCAGCAAATTCGAAGAAACCGAAAAGAGAAACTACGTCGCATATGCAGTCCCTTTCTCCAAGGAACTAAAGAAGGACCGCTGGATTTGAGGTCACCCGTAGTTACCCATTCCCGTATTGACGGTGCACGAAACGGCAGGCCGGTTACACAAAGTCGAAACGAAGTGCTCAGGCCATTATGGCCAGTTGAGGATGCACACCGATTTTGTTCAATCGACTTCCTTAAGGCACATTTTAACTGGCTCCAACAAAGACGAATTGTTGCGGGCCAGCTCATCAAACCCGCATTAAGTGAGTCTTCACTAATGTTTTATTTGTTGATGCTTGTCTCTCTGGTCATGCTACAGTAGATCATTCATCATCTACTATTGTGGTAAGTATAATGTTGCTGCAAGGTTTTAACGCAATGAAATCTATTAACATGTGCTACTAAATCCTTTTGTTTGATGCAATTTGGCCATACGCTTTTCAGCAAAGTAAGACGTTCACCAAAGATATCATGACACAGGGTTCTCAACATTTCCGCACAACAATTTAGCAAACCATTATTTTCCGTGCTGTAACCCTTTTTAGAATTCACAACGTGGCATCTTTTCTTCAGATCCTCAGGGAACCTGCTCCCGTTCTCGCTAGTTGTTTCACGTGCATATGCAGGAAAGTGGAATGTGGCGGATACAATCCCCGGGGGAAATACCGCATTTCTTGTCCGTGGATGTTACTGCCCACGTCTGGCTTGCTACTGGATCAACATGGGTTTGACTCTGTCAATCTAATTAGCACCACAGTATGAGTCGTTCTCCCGTCGCGCGTATGGGTGTACAACAAACCCCTTGTTGAGAGCCGCATCGCAGCAGGTTAGCGAGCGACAGTAGCTGTTTGCACAGCTTGATCGAGCAGGCTGTGGCACCCGGGCCTTTACTGTGAACCGAACGAATGGGAATATCCGTGCTGAGTAATAAATCTCGTTAGCTTATTGTCGCACATTGTTAACCCGACTAGCAGACGGACGGGTAACAACAAAGTCATAAGTTAACCCCTCAACGGGAGAGCAGCTCACCAAAATACCGATTTCAAAGGATTTACAGCATTGTGGCTGAATTTTCTACGAAGTAGATTTGTCGGTTCCCAGCTTTGGAGTGATAAACTGCTCTTACCTGTGGTAATGTTGGGTCTCGGTGTGTAGAGTCCACGAGGCCAATGTGCATTCCTCGGTAGTTAAAGAGATGCCCTAACAACTGTGTATTATCAAAAGTGTCGAGTTCTCATCATGAGTCTACACACAGGTCTAACTGTTAGTTAGGCGTACAGTCCGTAAGAAGTACCCAGTAATATCCCTTATCTGGTAACGTATGCATCCAACTTGTTTGCACAATAGACTGCTAGAAGTAATTACAGTATTCATTATACCGTCTATTCACCGTCGCAGAGGGAGTCAGAGGACACCTGAAGACTAACTGTAGAAACTGGGATCAGACTGTCATCATTTTTCTCATACTTCATCTGTTTTTACCTCTAGTTAAACTTAATAAGTGGTTGAGGATAGGATTTGATGCAGAGTGGCAACGGAGGCTACGTTGCTTCACCCAATTGTTGCTAACAGTTGCCCGCATGTATCTTGTCTCTGACGGTTGGTTACCGGGGAATAAAGGGCAGTCACTCGGGAGTTTGAAACAGCTTGAAAGTGCACCAGCCAGATCGCAAACAAACATTTTACCCAGCAAAGACCTTCAAAAGAAGCTGTTGGGATCTGGGTTTTCAAAAGGCCTTTATAAATAATAGTATCGAGGGAAAATATTTGATATGATGCTGAAGGCATACCCTAAATCGCTTCTTCCTCTCTATGGATCTGCAGTTACGAAACAGAAACTCTCCCACGCTGCCAACTTGGTTGACAAAGAAAGCAGCTCATCATGAAATGCCTATTAGGACACTAATTTGATGCAACAACAAGACCATATCTGGTATCGCCAGTCACTGATTCCGTCCACGCAGATAATGATAACACGAAAAGAGCCGAAACCGAAGTATATCTGTGTCAATAGGTAACGGTGCATTATAGGAAGTAAAGGAATAGGTAGGTATAACACAACTCAGTGAGAATCAGACGTGTTTGTTGTATCGCCAATGACTGTTCGCGCCACACGACAGCAGAGAGAACACGATGAAGAGCGAGGACAGAGTAGTATACGTGAGAACGTAGCTTTTTTATAGTGGATGAATAAAAAGTACTAAAACTGGTTGGATCCAACCATCAGCTTAGGAGGCACTGAATAATACGGGTGAATGAGAAGTGGTGACAGAAAGACCCAATCAGGCGAATTCGAGGAAACGGTATTAACGGAAATGTGCCCCTGAATGGAATCCATTCCAAACGACCAACCAAAGCAAAGGAAGAATGCTTTTAAACAAAGGTCAGGAAACGAACGGCAGCGAAACGGAGGCAAGCATGTATAGATTACCACAATAAATGAATGTCCAGTACCAATCCTTTTAACTGTGATTATATTCTGAACTGAACTTAACTGTTGAACGGACATAGATCTGGACTGACTCTCAAAATGAGTTCCCTTCGAATACGGCGGATTCGCCGTTCGGCTTGAACAGCGTTCAATCAAGTAACTTGATTGATTCGTTCCACCAACACAATAAAAATGGTTCACACTGTGAGTATTTCCCAACCCCTTTGGAAGCGGTTAATAATAGCTAGAGCCCAACATGTCCATGCAGATCTCCTGTTACCCTCCGAACTAGCTGATATAAAGGTTTTGTCTTACACGGCTAGTTAGCCTCGGCAGCGTTTTCACCCAGCCTAACGACGAAGCACGCACAGACCAAACGGTCGGTTCGAAAAGTATCACGTGTTAGCGAGATAATTTTCTTTTATTTCACGGACATGCTTAATGATAAACTCACTTTTTCAGTAACCTGAACGATTTAACCTTTGGAAGGTGTTTACCATGTAGTGCCCCTCGTCACTGCTTCATGGGTTCTCTGCGGTTATTCTTGACACAGTGCGCTGCCTTTTGCTGTCCAACCTTCTAAAATAGTTGCAGCCATAGCAGTGGTAACTGGTGATCACCGCTACCAGAATTGCAAACTATTACGGTCGCAGGAGATAGCAAAACCTATTTTGTGTAGGAAGGACCATGGGTAGTTTTCCCAGCTTCAGGCACAGCTGCAGCTACACACCCCATATGTGTTGGACATCAGAAGTAGAAAGGACCAAGAAGTGTGCCTGTGTCTACGACCTCCTCGGATGCGGCCCACACTCCTTCAGCGCGTGTATCATTCAAGTCTAGGTCGAGCATATCTGAAGCTCATGACAATTCTAGTGGGTTGTCGAAACAGCGACATCAAGGGAACACGTATGTAATTTGTGGACATTCGACACGTGTGCGGTTGGGGCTTCATAGTGAGCCTTTGATTTAAACTGGAACATTTGACCCACCTGACGTACACCGGTACTTGTTGGCTGCAGCATGTTCGGTAAGGAAACCGCTGTTTTAACGTAGCTCTGCATAAAAGGGTATGTCCCACATCTGTCATTATCAAGAGTTGTAGCCTGCAGGTGCTTGTATTCGAGGTGGCATCACTAGGCAAATAGTTAATCCGTCAGTATCTATATTATGTGTGGAAGGATCTGGAGCGGATTTACGAATAGGCAGAAATGAACCAGTTTCCTCTGAATCCTGCAAAATGCCACCTGCTGACGCAGCGCATCAGCTTTAACAACACAGTTATTTCGGGGCAGCACGTTCTACAACAGGTATCTTAATGAATGAGACGGGTATCATCATACTAGTAAGTTTGGGCATTTAGCCTCAACACTGGAGAGTAGCGAACGTGGCAAACTTGAACTCGTGGATTTTGGGGCGAACTTTTGGTACCACTGAGAGACAGCTAGTGCCCCTGCCGATTAACTCATATATTTGTGCCCAGATTGAGTACGCGGTTCAGAGAGTCACCAAGGCAACACATGGGGTATCCGGTCCAAAATATAAAAATTCGCTTTCCTTTAATGGGTACACTCTCCTTAGAATACTGACGGCTTCGCGGGGATCACCTCAAATACCGGATACTAACAGAAAGCGATCATCCATGTACATCACTGCTGACCACAGTCCCTCCCAAGCAATGCAAAGAGCGCAACCTGAAGATAATAGCCAACACTCCCGTTTGGACTGCATAAAGATTTAATTCTGTTAGTGTCTCTTCCCACTGGAATGCATTCCCAACATCCGTGCTGAACGCACCAAACAACGTAACATTGGAAAGACCATTAGACTTTATTCGAAACGATAAGCGCTACACAGCAGCATGATAAAGTGCGATGTCTAGACTACTGATATTCTAACTTCCGCATCGGAACGTTTTTATCTTCACTTTCGCTTTTATTTGTCATCCTGCGTGTCTTGTGAAGCCATTGCTTTTCGTCCAATGATACAGTACCATAATAAGGAGCTATTAACACATAATCCAGGTACAGACGTCAAATGATCAGTAACCCCTGTGTACCACCACAAGTGAACCCTACTACCACGACGACAGACATGCAGCACCCCAATTTAGGCGCCATTATAGTGCCCAGTAGGAAAACACGGTAGTCTTGAGATTGCTGAAAACAGATGTTGTCTGTTACCCTCATCCACCATCCAAGTGGCTGGAAATGTGGGTATGATTATACTCCCAGTTAGTATGAAAGTCTATGAGGATCATTTGGTAGAACCGTAATGCCACCTGAATGTCCGGAACCAATCCGAGACTCGTCATAGCTTTACCGGGTAGTCAGGTATTCAAAACCCACAATCTATAGAGCAGTATCATAAGTTGCCGAAGCATCCGTTAATAGCACTTTAACTGGCGGTCGCCGAAGGCATAAACTCACTTTTAGATAATCGGAGGCGTTATTGGGCACAAATGTGAATTGAGACAGGGACGGCCAGTTCGTTATTGGTACTCAACTCTGATGCTCGACTTAGCAAATCTTAATTGTGCGAAATATTTTCCTAGAATTAGGATAGCTGATGACTCCATAGACTAGTCAACTTAGAAGAGAAATCCAACCAAACTGCAGTGCCGTTGCGGACATTTGCCTTTCGGATCCACCTAGCAGTATGACATGAAGCTTCTTAGGATTCATACGCTTCAAATGGAGCTGATGTTTCTCAGTCGAAACGATGTGTTTTGCTGACCTGTTTCTGCCATCGTTACTGAAGGGCGGTACGGGTTCATTCGATGTTGATCCACCTGCACACCTTACGTAAAAGCGGAACTCTCGAAGAATATCTCGTTATAAGGGCCTGCAGGGCCTAATGGTGCGTTGAACAGTCTGCCATGCACATCAAGCAAG